TTAAATTTTAAAATATATATTGAAATTTGATAACAATGTATTTTGAAGGTAAATAGCAAATCGATAACAACTAATACCAACTATACATATTTGAAAGCTTTTAGCTAGAGAGAAAATATATTTGTTAATTTTTTTTATAGTGACACCTTTATTTGTGTAAATAAATACTTAACTAAATAATTTTCTTATTTTTATGATAATTCAATCAAAGTACAGTTTAAATATTAATTATAAAAATAATATTTTAAGGTATTGTTTTTTTTTAAAAAAATTATTGTAATAATATTATAAAGCAAGTAACATTCAGTGAAGTTAAGAGTCTAAAAGAATATCAATTACATTTCAATAATATTAATCACCTTGAGTCTAAAAGAATATCAATTACATTTCAATAATATTAATCACCTTGATTAAATTATTATGGCTAATAAATAAATTAAGTTCATTCTCCGGTCATATTGACGTCAACCAAACAGTTAAATAATCCAAGATACATAAATATTTCTTTGATAAAGATTAAAAGCAAAATATTTTTTCCAAATTTGTGTAGGAAAATCACAAACTATGGTTAAGATTACTCTTATCGCCACGTGTTTTGTGGATTTATATATTTTCATAATTAAAGTCGATAGTTCATAATCGGCATCAAACGAAATTATTCATGCTCGTGTGCGATAATAAATAATAAATGACATTAGTCAAATTCCTGGTAAAACTGATAAAAATAATAAATAATAACGCAACTTAATTAATGTCCATGTAAATATTTTTTTTGAGACATATTAGTTGTTGAAATATATATATTATTATTATTTACTTGACATAGATCAATTATTTCCAAAAATCTTGATCGAGCCCCAAGGTCTATGTCAACGAAAAACAAAATTCGAGATCTAACGAAATGAAAATGGAGATTAGGTTATGTTGATATTTAGATATTAAACCATCTAATTATTATGTATCATTAAAAATATATACTTACTGCTATTATACTCATAATTGATTATTGCTCTATTTTGTTATTTTAAATTCAATTAATAAATGTTTAAATTTATCTTGTTTTTACTTTTAATTCTTTCTTTTTTTTTATTAAATCTTCAATACAGTTAGAAATTAATATAGAGATAGAAAGTAGAGGGGTTATTTCAAGGGATCTAAGACACAAAAAGCTTGAGAATCTATGGTCAAGATATTTAAAAATTTTTTTTTTTTTAATCATACAATTTTTCTTACCTACAGAGAAATTTATTAAAGTAATTTTCACCAAGTATATACTATTACTTTTAAACATATTTGTATATAATGAATTTCATAACATTTCCGAAGCTGTTATATGTACTATTAAGAGTACGCCAATTGCATATAATATGCAACCATCAATTATATTCGCATTATATTTTTCAATTATAAAAAGATTTTGTTAACACTATGTTGACATCTCTATAATAGTGACAGTGATCAAAAACAATTCAACACATAACGTTCTAAATTTTGTTTTAGCGGTATCAAACACTACTTTATTAATGCAAAAGCTCTTAAAATGATAATAAAATTCACAATACGACTTTGAATTGAGATAGGTTCTGTTATTCCGACTTAGTTTGAACTTATGCACGTGCCTCAGTGACCGATTAATTTATTCAAAATTACAGAATTAGTTTACAACCTTACTATAAAATTATGCCATGTTATTTATGTCTTTTATTTTCAGATGCGGATGTAAAATGCAAGCATATGGTTCCTGGAAATTTATAGAATTTAGCTGTTCAAGACCGCATTAAAAGTAGTTACCAGTAACACCAGTGTAATATAAATGATTTATTTAAATTAATACAATATAATAGAATAAAATGTTAGAAAATTCGTATCTTGAACACGTTCACAATTTTTTAACATCGAACAAAGTTTGTGTTTGTAAACTTGTTGGTTCGCACTTATAAATGCTTAATAGTTTGAACAACTTAATTTGCATGAAATTAATTATATGATTTTTTAACCTTGACATTCATCAGATGGCCAAACATGTTCTCCACATCATTTCATAAAAATTAACTTTTCGAAGACATTTTAGAAGAATGTTGTGCGAAATTTGAATTAATCTTAACATAATTCCTCTCAAAAAAGCGATGAAAATATTGCCTAAATAAATTATAAGAAAAGCATTGAAAAATCCATTATAGCAAAAAATGTGACTAAAATTTAGAAATACAAATTAGATCTGATTTAATTTTGATGGTCAAGAAACAATTTATTAAATGTAATCTATAATATAAAAATGAATAGCAAAATGTGTTGGTAAGCGCATAACTCAACAACGCCTGGACCAGTTTGGCCAATTCTTTTTTTAAAATGTTCGTTGAAGTCCAAGGATGGTTCTTACGTCGAGAAAAATCGAATAATTACCTAAAAGCAGCCCTTTTCTTTTTCACATTCAAAAGTTAGTATTTTCATATTTTTGCCATCGGATACGGATTATTTACTCAAATCAATGGAGCGTGTTAGGTCTGAATTTTTTTACTGTGCTCCAATTTGTATGAAATTTTGGAATTAGGTTTATCTTACTCCCAAGTTCAAAAGTGAAAATAATTTAGAATCCTTTGCTATTTCCCGAGGGTATGAATTCCTCTCAGTGGTGTATTTTTTTTTTCAAAATAACGTCGGATATCGATAAAATAACTAATTAAAAGAAAAAAATGTTGCATCATGTTTTTCAAAAAAGCAAATACTCGTCATTTTATTTAAAGCAGTTGTACATTTAAGATCCATATGGGTGGATGTATATACATTTCGGTATAGACTATAGTGTAAAAAAACATAATTTTCAACTAATTGGTAAATATCAGTATTATTAAAAAAAATTGTAACTTCTGAATTGTAAACGTAAATACAGGACAACGTCTGTCGGGTCATCTAGTGTTAAATGAAAATAATTTAGTAAAATAGCAAACAAATTTTTATTATACAAAATTAAAAAAGTAAGGAAAATAAATAAAACCTTTGCAAGCATACAGGAAAAAAAAACACCAAAAATTTATAGGATTGGAATTCATTTACAACAAACAGTTTATTGTCCTGAACTACTTTCAATACAAACAAAGTCTCAATATAACTTTGATCTATAGGAAAAATTACATGTTATATGCATAATAAATTGTATCTATATATCAAACTCCTGCAATAATAGCCCTGATCCGTCAAGCATGCATGTGACACAGATTTCGCAATTCACCATAAACTTGGACTAATAAACTTGAATTTCTTATCTTTCTTGAGGCATTGATTTTCAATAAATCGAGCACGATTACAGATTAATTATTATTGGCGTCAACTTACGACCTCAGATATAATACTAACAATAACGTAGTAATCTTCATGCCTACTAATTGTAAGACAAATTTAATGAGCAAAATTTTATAAATAATATAACATGTTTAATTCCTTCGTTTTTCGAAAACAATTGTATATAGGTACTTTTGATTAAAAGATGAAACTTATTTTTCTCATAATGATATGTGCAATATTAATAAATAATGCCCGCACTATTTGTATATAGATAATTGATTGTGAAAATAACTAATTAATGAAAGGTATCTTGAAAGAAATCTCTACATCATCGCTCATAGAAATCAACTGACATTGTATTAGATATTTTCAAAAACTTCTATTTATATTTGCGAATTATGTTTATTCTGGTTAATGTGTTGTTATTCTGATATTTAAATGGAAAATTTGCTTTTTTATTGGGCGTAAATAAATCCTGGTGACACAGTAGAACACATGCGTATCTGAAGCGTGTGTATAAAAATATCTTATCTGTTTGTTTATAGAAATGTCTGGCAATAATTTAATGATTTCATAAATTTGCTCTATATTATAAATAGTTGATAAAAATTACATAAACGATTATTGATAATAACAAATTAAATACATGTAAAAATAGTAAAAAATATTCACTTCCGTAAAAGCTTGTATTAAATTAAATATGAAATTTAGTATTTATAAAGAGTAATCAAGTTTAACCTTTAGAAACTTCAAACATTTACTCACCGCGATGGTCGAGAGATCAAAATTTAATATTTGTGAGAAAAGGTCGTTGAACTTTTTAGCATTTACCCATGGATTAATGAATCAAACCTTCCTAAATATAATATAGAAACATGAAATATATTCGAAAAGATATATATATATATATATATATATATATATATATATATATATATATAGTAATGAAATTATTCTTTATTTAACAAGATATCATGTTTTACTTAGCATTACTTTTTTCTGAGCTCTTATCTGGTCCTATACATTTATTAATATTTTAATTCATCTGAACAAACTTTTATGACCGTAGAAATTTGTATGGAAAAAAAGCTCACTATCAATAAATCTTTTATAGCAAATATTCCGAAATCTATCAATAAATAATACATTGAATTATTCGCTCTTGCGTATTGTAGAACTATTTACAGTGCATCCAGCAGCAATATATTTTTCGTAGACTACTACAATACTACTTCAAATTCAAAGTTAATTTATATATTATCTAAACCATTACTTTATCAAATATTTATTACAAAAAAACAGTTGTGAATGGGGTTTCAGAAATTTGACTTATGACTATGCCATATCATTTACTTTAAATCTAATCTTTTACTTTATCAAATCTAATCAATTACTTTATCAAATATTTGTTTCAAATATTCAGTTCTGGGAATCGGGTTTCAGAAATTTGACTTATGACAATGTCATATCACTTGAAAATTATTTATGGCAATTAAAATACTATATCAGTGTTTTTTTTAAAAATGATCATACTTGTGCAATCGCAGTGATTTTCCGTACATTCGGATTCTATCCGTATGATTAACATAAATTTTATTAATATATAACCGACATCCTAGCAGACAACAATACATTACCTAATCAAAGTTTTACAACTGCGCGTGTCGATAGTAATCGTAAAATTTTATATTTTTATTGTTTATTTTTGGCAATAAAATGTTGTATTTCTCTTTGCAGAAACAAGGTGAAAGAACAACAACTAGCTGGATAGAAAACACATTGTGATAGTGCTATTGACAATAACTTATTATAATAACTGAATTTTTTTAACAAGTGCAAAAATTAAAAACTATAAAATAAAGTGACTAATGACTAGCTATCAGTGACTTTTTTATATAATTTTGAGCAAGATACCAAAATGTCGCCAAATAAATCAGACAGCGGCTGCTGTATGGGACCAAGTTGTTCCTCAGAAGCTTCAACTTCTTCAGCAGCTTCAAGCCACAGTTCTTTAAGAAGGGATAACAATAATGTAGAGTTATCAATGCGGAATGTGAGACCAGTTGACATCAGATTCAAGGATGTTAGGTACCAGGTTTTGGAGATGTCACTGACTAAACTCAGAGTTGGTGAGTTTATAAATATGTGATAGAATTAAATGTACTAAAGATCATTTTGGGTGTAATTCAAAATGAAATCGCTATCTTAAAAAATAATACAAGATGATTCATTCCCATATTTTGTTTTTACGATCAATTCTGCTAAAAGCTCTAGCTGAAATCGAAAAATAATTGAGTTCGCATCACTTGGCTTGATTAGGCAGCTCGGTATAGTATCACTAGTGTTTTTTTAAATCAATATAATATTTCTGTGGTTTTTAAGTTCTGTTAATGTACCTCTACTTTTCATCAGTTTCTGTGCTGAATCTATATTTAAAATGTAGTGTATCAGTTGGTTCGTTACCTATGTATCTATGGATTAGAAAGCTTTTCCTCAAAGCTCTATTCCATAAGTCCAAATTGGCTCAGTAAAGACCTTTTCATATTATCTTTAAAAATATGAAAGTATTTCGAAATTGGCACTAGCTATGTGTATATTTCTTTACTGGTATTTAGCAGTTCAGTAAATTGGCGTGTTTGTGTAAACAAATAATTAAAAGATTTGAGTGGGAGGTTTAAAGGTACAGAAAAAATAATATTAAGCTAACATTTGTTATTGCAAAATTGCAACTTCTAGGAATCGAATAAGAACAATTGAAGGAAAATTTTTATAAATTGAATTTTCAATGTAAATCGTGCCTGGGTAACAAATATATTTGACAATAATTTGTTAAATGAAGCAACAAAAAAGGAGAAGTGAATAGTTAATGTTATTATTCTTGATGTGCTAATTTACGCAAAGTGAATCATTTAGAACAAGAGTTCTATTTGAGTGCTTATCCATATTTCTTATTTTAAATGCTAATGATATGGTAATAAACATCAAATTATAATGATGATCCTTCGAGAAAATTTATCTAATGACTTATTCAACATAATTAATTAATCATTAAACTGATTGAAACCATGAACAAATTAATCGCTTTTAATAAAAATAAACCATTTTAATACATATTCATTATTAATATGTCACGAAACGTCGGGAAATAAACAGTTTTATGTGTAATAATTATACGTTGTCAGCAAATTAAAGTAATCGTTCTTTCTTTGCCTCATATAGTGACTCGTCCATGTAAATTTTATATGCGTTTTCGTTGACCCTTGATACCATTTACGTAAATAATCGAAGGTTGAATTTGGTATATGAATCATAAAATCACGCCACACATTCTACTAATTGCAGGAATTCGCGTTGTAATGAGATCGAAATGACGATTGTTCTTGTAAGTAGTAGTCTTCTGTTATATGTACTACAATCTGTCATACAGGACATGAATTCAGTAATTGTTCTGCCTTTATTATATAGATTTTTGAATGGTTGTCCATTCTAGTTGTGACTAATTAAACTATAACAAAGTATTTGTTGATACTTTTTGATTATATGTAGCTATACCCTTGAGGGGCGATATTCACTTGAGATTATATTTGAGATCTATAACCTCAAATGGAAATTGGATATCAAAACTGTCTGATGTTGGTTGACTGTGGTTAGGACCGAGCCGAGCGAAACACCTCAAAGATTTTATAGACCATGTTCCCAATTCCCAATACTCAATTTTCTTTCTGCTACATTTAAAATAACATACATAAGTAAAAGTAAATTACTGTAATTTTAAACTTTTGTTTTGCAAACCGCATCAGCCATGAACGGCTTATCACACTGATGACGCACGAACATTTTTTTTGTTCTGCCGGTATTATTCAATATAACAACCGAGAATTCGGTGTCAAGGTTGCAATTTTTACTGTTATACAGGATTTTGAACATTCGAAATATCCCTATGGACGAAATTAATGATTCAAAACACGTTTTATTTTCGTGCGTAGGTCTCGCGGCGATGAATACTGTAATTCGTGAGTGATGTTATGACGAATACGAGTCATTGTGCGTTCGTTTCACGTACAATGTGTTTGTCAATCCTCGTCTGTGATCTTGACCTGACGCAACTAGACAAAACGTAGAAAATGCTTGAATTTGGTGATTTGATGTAAAAACAACTGTTAAATTACTATTTTTTGTTATATATTTCCATCTATTTCCTCATGAAACAACAGCAATTTTTTAGTAGTACATAGAATGTCTAAATCAGATGCCAATCCATTGATTGGGCAGTAAGTGGATTGAATTTAGCGTTCCTCATGTACTGTAATAATATTTAGATCTTTACGTATAAGACAATTTGGTGTATATTTAGGAACAGTTACCATTTCTTTCAGAAGTTTATTTTGAAATCTTTGGATAATTGTGATATTCGATTTCTTAGATGTTCCCCTTAGTTGAATTCCGTACGTCCATATTGGTTTTAGCATTACTTCGTACAGTAACAGCTTGTTCCATGAGCTTATTTTGGATTTTCTGTTTAATAGCCAATGTAGTTTTTTTTCGAGATTCTTCAAGATATTGTCTCTTGATAAATTACTACTAAGGGATCGTTCAAGTATTACGTAAGCAGATTTATTACAAGTATTTACCCCTCCTCCCCTTTGTCAGCAAAAGTAAGCAAAAGTTCTTACTGAAAATAAGCAAAATAAGCAAATCAATAATTCCCCCCGCCCCGCTATAGTGCTTACGTAATACTTGAACGGCTCCTAACCACCGTTTTAGCACTGATTAAACATATTGGAATATGCAGGTAGTAAATTTCCTGGGCCCCAAGTTATAAAAAATCCCAGATAGTATTATGAGGTTACCAACCAAATTTTCTTAAGATTTTTCACAATACCTTTTTAACACTTACGGGACGACACCGATTTCAAAACAATCTACTGTACCGGCTGTAAACTTGATTCCAATGTGAATGTTATGCAATTTGTTTGATAAAAATTTGTGGTCATTGAAGGACATACATTTATGATATTAATCTATTTTTGATCATGTTATAAAGAAAGGTGACGTTCAACACAATTTCCAGAATGCATAGCTGGTTGATTTTGACATGTTTTACAATAAAATGTTGTTCGCGGCCTTCCTCCTGGTGCTTTTCTGTCAAAACAGACAATACAATCCCCTTTTCTTTCTCTCGCATTTAGAATATGCCACTGATTAGTCAGTATATTTGTTCATTTTTGTGCTGCCATAATGTTTTTTTTTTCTATTATATTGTCTAATAACTCATTTGTAAAATATAAAGTAAAATAATCTATTGGATGTCTTATATTGCTTAGTATTTGTTGTCGGGGTGTTTGTTGATGTATGCCGATTATTGAAGGAGAATGGTCTCTATGAATGTCTATTTGCAACTCATCTTCACTACTGCTTAATTCACAAAATTTACCAGTCGTTTTGCCATATTTAAAAGCGCTCGGTCGTTTTAAATAAAAAGATTATATAGCAAAGAAAAGGGCTAAAACTACTATTAAAATAACTTAACATCATTTTCAAAATACAACACTGTTTATCTCTGCTATATGTAATTTAATCAACTTTTCGATGCAAACTGAGTCATTGTTTATAAAATATCCTGTGCCTCACAAAATATGTTTGTCCACTCAGGTGGACAGCCGTCCCCAAAGAGTTAAAAGCTCTATTTCCCTTTGGCAGTAAATTTTAAAGACTTGTGTATTGTTTATTGAAATATTCACAACGCGATTGATAACAGTAACCAATAATAAACAGTTTAAATCAAATAAGAGACTTGAATGGATCCTAGACAAGAAAAATCAGAAATTATTTTCATATCCTCGCTCAGAAATGTTTTAGACATGTTGCCGATTGACAATGATTATGATTTATGTCTAAAAGGTTATTCACCTTCTCAGTTCCATTTTGCAAATAACTGCAAGCTCCTCTGCGTTAAGCCATATCCGATTGTCCGTTGATTCGTTTGTAAATATTTATTTTAAGATGATAGTCAATTTCATAACTAATTTTAATAAATAATAGCGACAATGAAAATAATGCGATTGTTTAGGAAAATGGCTTATAAAAAGTTTGAAAATATACAAACCATTCATTTGAGAAAAAGCAACGTATATTTGTCGGACAATATTAAATTCGACTTTAAGTTTCGCGTATTTCATTGATATGTACTAATAGTAAGAATACTAAAAACTCGCTTATAGCCATTAATGATATAAAATAAAAATAAGTATGATCCAATAACTTTTGATGCGTTGTTATGAAATGCTTTTCAAAACTTTGAAACGCAATCTACATTGTTTACTTCATTAATTGCTTTAAAGTTCAAACAGATATACTAACTCGTATAAACAAAGATACGTCAAATGTAATCCAGATAGCTATAATTAGCTGCAATAAAAAAGGTTCAGCAAAATTTGAATATTTGCAGGAGCAGACAAACTTTAGTAATATTATTTATGTTTTGAAAACTTCATATTAGGTTTGTTAAACTTATGATAATCTATCCAAGATTTATTTCACAAAGGAGCACGAATTTCAGAATAGAAACAATGTTCAAGAAAAGATAGCTTAAGACGCTTACGGTATCATATTGTAATATGTAAAAAGTTCAAAATTATCAGTTTGATCTCGAAATCTAGAAGATTTTTAAAATATATGTTAATGATTGATAATTAATACTCAGTTAGAATAAAAGTTATTGTGAAGTTCGTCAAACTTTTCACAAATGATCCTAGAGTAACAAAATATACTAAGATAATAAATAATAAATTAATCATTTTAAGGTAATAAAAAAGGACATCATTCGAATGCTATAATTAGAATATTAACCAGATTATTACCATAACCAGATTGATAATTTCAATAGTTTCTAGTTTTTTTTAAGTGCAAAGATGTTTCGATATAGGTGTTAACATTTACGAGAGTTATTAACAAAAATATAAATAAAAATCATGCATATTATGCATATTATACACACACACACACACACACACATATATATATATATATATATATATATATACACATACACATATAACAAATGTATTTTGAGTGGATAGATAGATATTATTTTATAAAAATGAACAAATAACATTCTTTTTTTGCACTA